GGATTAAGAAATCAAAGTTTACCTTTGGATATTTACACTACTAAATATATATCTACAACTACTGTTAGGTAACACATATAAATTAATTTTTAATTCACATAAATTAAATTTAAAAGGTTTGAATTTACAAGTAAAGTAATGTTAGAATAATAAATAGGGTGCAGCTAAAAAATAACCATAGCCACCACTAAAGAAATCCCAGTATGAGCCAAGCCACATATTTTAAAGAGTAAACGCCATTTACCCACCCAGCATTCGACAAATCTACAAGTTCCCACCGATGGTTTCATAAATTATAGATTCTCACCATTAAAATTTAAATTAAAAGAAAATTATTTAATTTAATGGTTAAAGGAAAAAATGGTTAGCACACAACCGTCCCACCCCTCTCTCTCCCTCCTTTCACTCCTTCCTTTCTCTCTCGGATTTTGACTGGATTTTGCACCAAAATAGGCAGAAATCATCTCCTCATCACCGATTGCACCTTTCCCAAGCCTGATTGGTTCATTTTTAGACTGATCTTGCACCATTTTTACAATGTTTGTGTGAACCCCGACCTTGCTCGATTGACTATTCTCAGGCTCGATCTGGACGGCACCCTAACTCCATCATCATCTTCCTCTCACCATCCTCTTCAAAACCCCCACAAGCACTGCCACCGACAATTGTCGTTTCCACCTTTCTTAGCTGCATCTATCCATCGTGACGTGTGCCTAAGTTTGCTGCATATGTACTGAGTCTGCCGTCTGCCGCCAACATCAAGTTCCTCTCTTCTCCCTTGACACACCGATTGCCATCTCAGGTCACACCAGTTGCCATTTCCTACTCGCGATTGTCATTCATTTTCCAAATTTGTGAGTGGGTGGTGGTTTGTGGTTGTATTTGTGAGTAATTTGGTGGTGCTTTGTGGTGGTTGTTTGGTGGCAGCAGGGCTTTGGGGTTTAGAGGGATTGCGATGGTGGTGGATGGGTGGAATGGTGGTGGGCTCAATTTGTGGTTGTTTTTGGATGGGTTTGTGGAGGTTTTTGGGTGGGTTCGTGGCTAAGTTTGTGGCTGAATTTGTGAGTGATTTGGTGGTGGTTGTTTGGTGGCAGCGAGGCTGACTTTGGGGTTTAGAGGGATTGCAATGGTGGTGGATGGGTGGAATGGTGGTGGGTGGTGGTGACTTTGGGGTTTCGGTCATGATGGTGTTGAAAGGTGGTGGTGGGTGGATGGTGGTGGTGATGGTGGCTGGGTGACAATGTAATCAAAAGTCAGGGGCAATATGGTAATAGCATTGTTTACAACTGTGTCAAAAGTCAAAATTCATTAACAGTGTTAATTTAAGAGTGGGAATCTGAAATTTATAGAACCATGGGTGGGAACTTGTAGATTCGTAAAACCTTTGGTGGGTACATGCCATTTACTCTATTTTAAAATCCTGCTAAAAATAGAATAATATTATAAATTTGGTTTTCTATATAATTAGACCTCAAATAGCTTAGAATTCAAACTCTATTGAGATGGATTTCGGAGATTGGGAACAAAGTTTGATCATTTTTCTTTAAGTTAGAAGTATTAATTTTAGATGGGATCAGATCAATCACAAACAAAAATATTACAAAGGAAATACAACAACTATACCATAATTTAAATTTTTTATTACATCTTAGGTGAATTTTTTTTTTTTTTTTTATCATTACAAACTAATATAATCGATAGTTTTAATTACATTAGGGAAGTGATTTTTAGCCCCACCTAATTGATCTTAGGCATGACAATGTTCCCCGAAATTCTGGGGACCCATCCTGTCCTGCTCCGCCCCATATGGGCGAGGAAGCCCCGGTTTTTTCAGGGATAAGGGGTGTGGGTGTTTTAATCCCCGTCCCCAGGGATGGGTCGAGGGTGGGTGATGCCTTTCCCCCGCCCCACCCCGCCCTGTATATATTATATAAAATTAAAAATTACATAAATATGGGTCAATATTTATGTAAAATTAACTATGTTTAAACAATTAATTTAACTGTTTGTCACGTAGAAGAGAACTAACTATTGTGTTTGGTAATACTCAAATTAATTTATGTTTATGTAAAATTAATGAGGGGAGGACGGGCATTCCCCTTCCCCTGTGGGGTGGGGAAGGGGATTTTCCTATCACCCCTGTAACGGGGATGGGTACGGTGAATGAGATCCCCGCCCCGTCCCGTTGCCATGCCTAATTGATCTTCACCCCCCACTTTTAAATTCATTTTTTGTTTTGACAAATTTAAACTTAATTTAAATGATTAGAAATAACATTATAATTTCTCAATATGCTCATACTTTAATTTATATATATATTTTTTTTTCAAATTTTTAATATTGAATCTTTCATAAACCCTATACTAATTTTTTTTAACCTAAATCTAAATTTTCATAATCACTGAAACCTTTTGTTTTATTTTAAATATTTCTTTATTTGATGAAAATATAATACTAAGACTATGGAAAAATGAGTTGAAATTAGAAAATTGAGGGAAAAAAAGGGTGTAAAGGAAAAATCTAATTAAGTTTGATTTGGGGAAATGGTGTAAAACATAAAACCTAATTAAGTTTTAAATTGGGAAAGATAAACCAATTAAGCTTAGATAAGTATTGGATATATATATATATATATATATATATATATNAAGGAAGAATTCATGTTGTTATAAATTATAATATTATTTGATTGTGTTAAAGGGGTGATGAACTATTTTTAGGACAAAGTTTAGTCTATTTAGTATTTCAATTTGGTGGGAATATTCAATTAATATTTGATTACAAATATCCGTTTAATTAAAAAATAAGAACTTGAAAAAACAAAAAATTAAAATTGATACCAAGTAAATAGAGTCTTCTCCATAATTCCACTCGTCCAGCCCTCTTCACGAGCCTGTACAAGTGAGGCAAGCAAGTATGGGAGAATTTGGGAATTTTGTGAGTCTGGAGACTATAATTTGAATATCAGTTATATATTGTGTATTTGTGTTATTGGTTAATTAAATACTTTGCATTTGACCAAGTATTTGATGATGTTCTCTACTTCTCTTTTATGTTCTTGTAAATACAGTCAAATTGAATACTTTTGTATTTGAAATGTTATGTTGATTTTAACCAGGTAGTCCATAAAAGTGTTAAAACTAAGATTGATATTGCTGTATTTTTCAAAACGTATTATTGACAATGCACCGTATTAAACCCGTATATATCCGTACCGTATTTTTTCCGTATACGAATTTTATGGCCGAATTTTTATAAACGTATTTTTCACCATTTACCGTATTATACCCGTATAATTCCCGTACCCTTTTTTTGCCGTACCCGTATTAACTAACTAGGGTAAAATTAACTATGTTTAAACGATTAATTTAATTGTTTGTCATGTAGAGACGAGAACTAACTATTGTGTTTGGTAATACTCAAATTAATTTATGTTTATGTAATTAATGAGGGGAGGATGGGCATTCCCCTTCCCCTGTGGGGCGGGCTAGGGGAATTCCTATCACCCCTGTAACGGGGATGGGGCGGGGCGGGGATGGGTACGGTCAATGAGATCCCCGCCCCGTCCCGTTGCCATGCCTAATTGATCTTCACCGCCCACTTTAAAATTCATTTTTTGTTTTGACAAATTTAAATGATTAGAAATAACATTATAATTTCTCAATATGCTCATACTTTAATTTATATATATTATTTTTTTCAAATTTTTAATATTGAATCTTTCATAAACCCTATACTAAATTTTATTAATCTAACTCTAAATTTTCATAATCATTGAAACATTTTGTTTTATTTTAAATATTTGTTTATTTGATGAAAATATAATACTAACACTATGCAAATATAAGTTGAAATTAGAAAATTGGGGGAAAAAATGGTGTAAAGGAAAAATCTATTTAAGTTTGATTTGGGGAAATGGTGTAAAACATAAAACCTAATTAAGTTTTAAATTGGGAAAAATAAACCAATTAAGCTTAGATAAGTATTGAATGGGATATATATATATATAATAATATATATATATATATATATATAATTTATTTTTTTAATTATAGAAAAAAATGTACTTAACAATGAAATTAGATGTAATAAGGATAGACTGACAAACGAATCTCACAAAATTTCTCTCACAACTCTAGTGGCAGCTGAATTTTGTTTTATGATGAATTTTTCTGCCTGTTGATGTTACTTAGGAAGTGAGATGAGTGTATGTTGGATTTATAAGACTCGTTTGTCAACGTATATTGTTCAATTAGATGAGGGCTAAAAATCATTTTCCATTACTTAGAGTTAAATGATTGGCCCATTATTTGTAATAAAGCATGTGACCAAAAGCCCATGAGCCCATATTAGACAAAGTCAAACTTCATCGGCAGTTGGAAGCCCGTTTTAAATAAAAAAGACACACAGCCCATGTTCTTATGAGGGCATTTTAGAAAAGATCATATTTTTATTGGTATATTATGACATAAAATTAATAATCATTATATACTTTATTGAATAAAGATAATTCTCCTCATAGAATTAATCTTTATCTTTTACTAAATAAAACCCAAGTCTTAGATAAATTATAATAAATAAATTTTATATTAAAATACAAAACAAAAAAAACAAAAAAAGAGAAACAATTTTAAGTATTAAATAGTCAAAAAAAAAAATCATTTTATTTGATACATTTCATTCTCTATCAGTCAATTAAAAATTATTAGTTATTATTTATTAACAATGAATTTCAATATAAAATTTATGGAGATTTAATGAAATATTTTGATATTACGAAAAAGTATTTTCGAATATGCATTAAAAGTAATAGATAAAGATAACTTAAAATGGAAAAAACTACTTTATTGATTTTTATCTAAATACAATATTCTAGAAAGATTATTGAGACTCACCACTGCTTGATTCTTACATGTGACAAACTGACAATACGGATCTCTTGATGGACAAAAATAGGCGTTGGGTTTAGGTAGTTGGTTACCCTTTTCGTGTACCACCAGTTATCCATCTCTGTAAAACTTGTCATCTTTATAAGTTGGGCACGCTATTTCTTTTAATTCACTTTATTGTTCATTCATGGAGAAGAGAAATTACAACCCAAAAAAATTCAAGGTCAATCTCAAAAATCTTCCTCCTTTAGACCCTTCTACCATCTCCCCATCATCCAAGGCATGTTCTTCTTTATGTTTTGATGAATCTTTTGTTGTTTATTTTGTCAATTTTGTTTTTATGGCTTTGACAATGTTTTTGCAGGTTAAGTATGAGAAACACAAACCAAATTCAAGAGCTTTTGCACCTCGAATGGTGAAGGCTTGGCCTAAAGAGGAAACAGAAGTGGCAGATTTTGATGATGCCCCAAAAATTCCACAAATTTTGAACGTTGGAGATGGAAGTTTTTGTTCTACCAAGTACATAGACCCCAATAGCACTAGCAATATCACCGCAAAGAATATTGAAAGCAGCACGGTGAATGAAGTTTGTTACAGTGAATCCAAAAATGAAGGTACAAATCTTGACTTTTTCAACGTTTTGATGTTGTTTTAGTCATCTGTTTTGTGGGTTCTCTTCACTTGTTATTTCTAGTAGCTTCCAGGGTGCATGTGGATTGTCAGTGAATGAAAGTTCTGTTTTTCTTTTGGATTGACAAGGTTGCCTTTTGTGAACCAGACTTGATAGCTGTAACAATTGATTGTTTTGTGTAACCTTGTATTTAGGCTCAGTTTTAATTGAGAGTTAGTGTTCAGAAATTAGTTCTCTCTCAATATTCGATCAGAGAGGCCTATAAGCCTTTCCACAGTAGCATTATTAGTAAGTATTTTTACAGAAACATCTTGTGCAATCTAAATACTAGATGAAGAAGAAAGTTCAATAAGAGTGGTGTTTCGCATAAGGAAATTGCATCTGAAAGATACCCAAGTGGATGATAATTTCTAAACTGTCTGGAGCTACCGAATTGTCTAATAATATTTATTATGGTCTTAAAGTTGATTGATTACTGATTCAATCAGTCATTGGACCAGTCATTCATTCATTATCTTTCAAAAGAACCTTCAGAATCTGTTGAATTGACAATCCATTATATTCTACTTTGCATCTGTAGATGCTCCAGTTAAGGTCTCAGCAAAGTCACAATTGCACGAGGTCTGCGCTGCAGACAATTGGAAGCCTCCTTTGTTTCCAGTTAAGGTCTCGGCAAAGTCACAATTGCACGAGGTCTGTGCTGCAGACAATTGGAAGCCTCCTTTGTTTCCAGTTAAGGTCTCGGCAAAGTCACAATTGCACGAGGTCTGTGCTGTAAACAATTGGAAGCCTCCTTTGTTTGAATGCTGCAAAGAGGAAGGACCTGACCACTTGAAATTGTAAGTAAAATCTGCTGTAAAACTATATAAGTTTCAATCTTGTTGTGTTTATAATTGTAGTTATTGCTATGGTAAAAAAAAGAAAAAAGAAACATGTGGCTTACTGTATGTAATGACTGAAGGATTGCAACTTTTGCTAAACTTATTACATTAGGTCCGTGTCTAATCCGAAATAACGTTAACAGGTTCACCTACAAGGTGACATTTGTTATAGAATCCTCAAAAACCTTCTTGGAGAGCTTCGGTGCTCCTCAGCCCAAGAAAAAAATAGCAGCAGAGCATGCAGCTGAAGGGGCATTGTGGTACTTGAACCATTTGGGTTATTTTCCAATTGAGAAACGAAATTCAACTAACAAATTTCAAGCACACACTTAGATTAGATCTTCTCTTTCCTCTTACACGAATATAGGCTAGTAGCAAGAAATTGTAGCGGATTTGTTGTTTGGTTGAACCTTTGGTATAATTTGTTCAAGCAACACGCATATTCAAAATTGTAAATCTTTGTTCAGCTTACCACTTATAGAGGAAATAAAATGTACATTGTCCTATGTTATTTGCAGTAGCCTCTGTGTTGGCATTAGCAGTGACTTCTGTTTTATTAGTAGTAGTCTTTTTTAAAACAACTTTGATGTAAATTTTTAACTGAAATTCAGAATTGAATAAAGGCATGCTCCAATATCTGGCTTTTACACTAGTGACTAATCCAAGTTTACTTCATTTCTCATTCAGCTTTTTTGTCGTCATAGGATGGTTCACCTTAGAGATTATTGTTAATAATAAAGCAGCCTTAAGAACAATTTTTGAGTGCTAAAAGAAATCACAGTTGATCATGCTGTTTATGATAAATTTTGTATGTTCTAAGCATAATTAAGAGTTTGAGAGTTTTCAGAATCCAGTTTTACATATACGACATAGAAATCAAAAACTTAAACCATGGATAGATAGATTCTAAATTCTGTCTATATTTTATTTTCTTGTCTCTTTTTTATTTTTTTATTTTCGTGGCTGTTTCTGTGGCTATTTGGCAGCGGATGCTGAGAATCCTGGAAGAAAATTGCAAAAGTTACAATCAACTATTAGCTCAGATAATAGTTAATAATCAACAATTCTTGATAGATAATTTGTCGTCATCACAATGCTAAATGAGCAGAAGTTTAAATTAGTCTGCAGTTTAATGAGCTATAAAGTCTGCTGTGACAGTTTTATGTCACCACTTTGATTTGTGACTTCAAATTAGGCAACTCAAATCACATAAAGTTAGAAACACATCCACAAATGGGTTGTTTTCAATTCAAGAAGAAGATGAGGAATGCAAAAGAATGGGAATTTTGATTGAAAAAGAAGGTAAGAAAGAATACATATATACTAAAATAGTAGAGCATTTTGTCAATTTCATAATCATTTTTCTCAACCTAGGATTGTCAGAGAAACAATCTCTTGTGTTGGATTATTCCCAAAAACTTTCTACCTTCCTTTAAAATCATGGGTGGACTTGTAATTATCTTGTCTTGTGTCTTGTCTCTTAAAACTCTTGTATCCTTTCACTTAAACAGTGTAGTGTTGTTGAATGGTATCAATGTCAAGTCCTTTCAATTTCACCACAGACTCAACATGCCCTTTGAGTGTGTGAAGCTCCCTTAGCCTGGAGATTAAACAAATGGAAACAAAACTAGTTGTTAACATAACGTCTATATATAAATAATGATATTAGCTTGAAACGATCATCACCTTGCAACTTCAGCACGCCTCTTCGCCTGTTCAGCAATCTCAGACAACTCCCTGTAGTTCCTTTCATTGTCTGGAGGCTGCAGTCCATGGAGAGTTCGTTGTGCCAGAGCCCATTGTGCCTCTCGTTCTCCCCTACCGTAATCCTTCTTTGTTGTGAAAGCAGTCTGCATAATGAAGTGCATCGTGAGGGCAAATCCAGAATCATAATTCCTTAGGTTTCAAAGACTTGAAGAAAATAGATAGATACCTTCTTCTGGAGAAGGGTATCCCAGGGCCTGCCGGTCATAAAAAATCGGACCATGAATTTGATAACATCCAATGGAAAATAGGTGACAAGGCTGTAGAGCCATATAACTCCAGCCCATCCCCATCCAATTCCACTAACTTTTGCATAGCCAAAATTGGCATACACAGCTATGATTGTTGCCAACTATCAGTCAAACAAGAAAATATCATCAGGTCAAATCTGGTATTATATGCAAGTGAATGATAGAAGGAACCTGACCTGAAATTTCATAAACTCACCAGTTGTGCAATTAAAAAGGCAGTGATAAGCAGAAGACCAGGGCGTTCGATGAAAGACCAGCTCCGGGAGCGAGTGACAAAGATCAGTGCCTGACTTACAATACTTACTTGGAGGTAGACTGCTGCTGTGAGCTCATGCTCGTTATTATTTATAGGTCTTACACCAAACTTATCCTGAAAATGTTTAACAAAGTTTAGTTAATTTTGCAGAGATGAAGTCAAAGGTGCTAATTTAGCAAGGTCCGGGATTTTTACTGTGAAGAAGGTTGATTTGTAAGCAGCCCAGAAGAAAATAACAGTCATGACAGCGAGGTAGCTGCCAAGGAATATGCCAGTAGTAAAGATCTCCTTGAGCTTCCATGAGTCTGGGAGAGGAGATGGCTTCACTCTGTCTTTAGAAATGGTCATGATCGTTCCATCGTTGAGTATGGCAATGACCAGAACCATAAAAGGTGAGAAATCGAACTTCCAGATAAGAGCAAGGAGCAAAAAACCCAGCACAATACGGATGGTTAAAGAAACTGCATATATGGTGTAATTTTTCATTCTCTGGAAAATGGCTCTGCTTGTTAAGACAGCATGCACAATTACGCTCAATCCTGGCTCTGTTAGCACTATATCTGATGCACTGCGTGCAGCATCAGTAGCATCAGCAACTGCTATTCCAATGTCTGCTCTTTTTAAGGCCGGAGCATCGTTCACACCATCTCCAGTCATTCCACAGATATGCTTCCTTTCTTGTAGCTTCTTCACAATCTCATATTTGTGCTCTAAATACTTACACCGTTAGATACTAGCAGTGTAACAATATTCATATAACAAAATGTAGTTTAATTAAAGTAGCAGCAAAACAAAATTATAACACAGATTTGGTTCACTCGAAGTCTAATAGTTACTTGCTCAACCTATGAATTCATTACTAGCTGTCAAATTAACCTAACTAGCATATGCTATTTTATTTTGCCTAATTACCTGGGAACACTCCGGCAAAGCCATCTGCCTTCTCTATAAGCTCGTCAACAGGGAGTCCAGCAATAGACTCATCCTTGTGCTCGCCGAGGAGGGCTGAAGAGGGATACATGTTGGTTCCCATACCAAGCCTGCGACCAGTCTCCTTGCCGATGGCTAGCTGGTCACCAGTGATCATCTTGACATTGACACCAAGATCAAGGGCACGACGAATGGTCTCTGCACTGTCGTGCCTTGGAGGATCAAAGAGAGGCAAGAGACCCAAAAATTGCCAGGGTCCTCCCGGGCTCTCCTTGGTTCTCTCTGGAACTGACTGAAACAAGGCATATTTTTTCCTGGTGAGATTTTGTTCTATCCCCTTTATTTGCCTCATTACTTTGATGCAGTTCTTTAGTTACAAAAAGAATACAAACTTACCTGTCTAGCAACAGCAAGCGATCGAAGTCCACGATCGGCAAACTTACCAATGATGGCATGAGCTTTCTTACTTACATCTTCACGAAGATTGCAGAGCTCAATGATCTAAAAAATATTTGACATGTTAATTAGCAGTAAAAAATAGGCAAACTGAAGATTCAAAAAGAACAAGTAATTTGTGCCAACTGATATATTACCTGGTCTGGTGCACCTTTGCTGATTCTGTGCCAATTTCCCTCCGCGTCGATGTATGTTATGGCTGTACGCTTTTCCACTGGGTTAAAGGGCAAGAAATGCACCTCTGTGATTCCTGCTCTGGCCTGCAGAGTTTGAAAAGGAAAAAGAAAACGAAAAATCATATTAGGAAAAAAAAATGTTTGATGAATTAGATTCAACAATTTGAACTACAATTGCATAGCAAAATGGTTAATGTCTCCAATATAATGCACCTCTTTGGGGTCTCCCAACATTCCAACAATACAAGTATCAATGGCATCCTGATTTTCAAACCTGGAGGCCCTAGCCCCATACAAAATTATGGTGTCCTTGTCGATGTCCTTCACGAATACCTGAAATTCATAGATAACTTAATATCATAACTGAAATTGCCTCAAAGTCAATTAAATTATGCTCTAGTTCCTTCTTTTATTATTACCTCAATCATGCTCTTGTCTACTGTAAGCTTGTTGAGAGTAAGAGTTCCAGTCTTGTCACTGCAAAGGACATCCATTCCTGCCATTTCTTCAATGGCTGTCATCCTCTTGGTGATAGCACCTTGCTGTGAAAGGCGGTGTGAGCCAATGGCCATTGTCACAGACAACACTGTCGGCATGGCAATTGGAATCCCTCCAATGAGAAGCACCAAAAGATTATCAATTCCACTCCTGTATGGCCGGTTCTGAATTGGGTATATCACCACTATCTCTATAACCATCCCTATTGCAATGGAGCATATGCAGAAGTTTCCAATGGCTGTCAACACCTGATACATCATCACAGTTTAATGCAAATCAAGACCCCGTTTTTTCAATTGAGATAGTCATGCCAGTTCTTCTCTTTTGAATCAGATAGATTCATATCAGAAAGAAGTTGATAAAACAAGTATAATATCTTCATGGTTTATGTACCTTTTGGAAGTGCCCTTCTTGATTGGTGCTGTTCACGAGATGAGCAGCTTTACCAAAGAAAGTGTGGACGCCGGTGGCGATGACAACAGCCTCAATCTCACCCTGCTTGCAAGTAGACCCGGAGAAGACTTCATCACCAGGACTCTTACTCACCGGCAAAGACTCGCCGGTCAGTGCAGCCTGATCAATCTTGAGCGGGTCGCCCTCCAATAGACGAGCGTCTGCTGGAACAATATCTCCCAACTTGATGCTGATCACATCTCCAGGGACTAAGATTGAAGCCTCTTGCTCAGACCATGTTCCATCTCTCAAGACCTTAGTGTTTCAGGCAGAAACCAAAAACTCAGAAAACCTTCCACAAATGAAATTTTGATTTTCCTTTATTCAATTAAATGTAGGGATTCAAACTTTAAACCTTTAACTTTGATATTATGTTAAATTGTTATTCCACCTAAAAGCTTAAGCTAATAAATAAGTGTTTAACATTATATTGGTCCAATAATCATGTATCCAAAGAAAAATGTACCTTGGTTTTGGGAGCAAGACCGGCCATAAGTGCAGCTGCAGCATTCCCAGCACTGTTTTCTTCTATGAAGCTTATAGTTGAATTGATCAAAAGCAATACCACAATACCAACGAAATCCTGCCAGTCCGGGGGCCTTCCCTGCATTTGTTCACAAAATTCGTAAACTGAGAGAATGTTAATTTATTTGAAATGGCATATTGACAAACACATTCACAGAGGTTAATATTACCCCTCCATTAGCCAGTACAATGGCCATGATAGCAGCAATCTCCATGACCCATGAGAGAGGATTCCACATAAAGCCCAGAAATTTCAGAACCTTGTTATCCTGTGTACACATCAGTTATATCCTAAATTACTCACTCAATAAAGTTTCTCTCTAGAAAATAAGAAGAAGAAGAAGAAGAGAAGAAGAAAGTGCAGAGGAAATGCCTTTTTCTCTTCTAGTTTATTTGGACCAAAGATTTGGAGCCTCTTTTGTCCTTCCTCGCTTGACAAACCTTCCCTTGAACATTTCAGTTGTTCAAATACTTCATCAACTGGTATGCGCTCCTTTATATACAAAACAAATCATAAGTTAATATGAATGTTAATATGATCACATTGATGAAGTTCTATGAGGTACTGCAAATTCGACTCTGAAAATTTTACTTGACGTCATTACGCCAAATTATTTGTTTCATAAATGTTTGAAGCCATGCATGCACATCAACTTCATCTAAGTATCAACTAGAATTTAAACAACCAAAAATAACGTAAGTTTTACAGGATACTTTTTGCGAAAACAAATCAGAACAATGTATTATGTATGATATAGATGTATGCAAGGGCGGACCTCCATAGTAGTGAGTGAGGGCTGGTGTCCCCACTAAAATTTCATTGGTTTGCTTTGGTTTTTTGTTTTTGTTGGATATGGTGTATACTTCTCTTAGCCTTTGACAGATTGTTTGCCTACAACGACTCATTCAGGTGGGTTTAAAGTTAGTCAGTGGCGGATCCAGAAAATTTTTTTAGGGTGAACCAGAATAAAAACTAATTACATATTAATATTTTTGTTAAGGTGGGCCAAAATCTAAAAATTATATATATTAATATTAAAAAGAAAAAAATTTGAGGGCTCACCCAAAAATGGGCTGGATCCGCCCCTGAAATTAGTTTACTAATATTTGAGTATGGGTTGGGTTAGATTCGAGTAAGTCCAAATAGGGTTAGGATTCTATTATGTATTCTCTGTAATAGTGAAAAAATTAATATGTGAAAAGAATAGAGAGTAAGAGTAAGTTGCCTTTATAACTGCGTCAAGTTCTTATACCTAATAAAATTATCTATTTAAATGTTGAATGTAGTTTATCTTTCGGTTTTCAACAGTTCTGACTAGTGTTTCTAAATTTAATTCCAATATTCAATGATATATCATTATATTTTAAACTTTGCCCTCTTAAAATTAATTCCTGAGTCTGTGTCATAACCAAAACAAACATAGAGAACAATGTACATCACGAGCAAGACATGAAGCAAAAAGAAGAAAACATTTTACAAAAACAAAGGAAACTTACAAGGTCGATGTTCTCTTTCTTTATTTCCTCCAAGCTAATCGCCTTAGACGCCATTGGTCGGTTTCTTTCAACCTTCTCCCTCACTCACTTTCCTCAAACAAAAAATGAACATAAAAATTTTGCTCAAAAACTCTGCAAGTAGCTACAGGTTTAAATATATATTTTCTGTTTCTTTTTTCTCTTTGTTTCTTGTTTTCTGTTTTCTGTTGTTTTTTTTTTTTTTTTTTTTTAGTTTACTGATAATAAAATCTAATAGTAGAGCGTGTTTTGGACATAATTTCGGTGTTTATATGGAAATGGTTGCTTAGTTATAAACCTCACAAGAGCGAAGGACTTGGACCTGAGCCCCGGTCATTCGCTTTCGCGCTTTATTTCTCTATTCTCACTGTGCCTCTCGTCACTGACCAATCACACGCTCTCGTTTTGGTCTTTGCCTCTTTGCTTGGCAGTGTTGGGCTGTGATTATCACTCATCGACACACTTCCATGGGGAGTGAAGGGATTCGACCGTGGCGGTGTTAGAGGATGTGAGATCTTGATTTTGTCAATATGTAGGAAATTTTACAGTTAAGTGAAGAGGTTTTTTTTTTTTTTTTTTTTCATATGAATTTTGGTTACTTGTAATAACCAAGCAAATATTGTTTTTCTTAAATAAAATATTGATCAGATAATATAATACCAAAATTAAATTATCAATTATCATATTCTGGTTTGAAGAAAAAAAGAGTTATTTTAAGTGATGTTATATTGAACACTTTTTTTTTTTAATTATCAGGAGTATCCAGACCAATTTACACGTACCTCAAGTAATCTCCCGAAACTTTGAAACTGTCGATCAGGTAAGAGTTCTAATGACCACCCTTATTAGTGTCTAGGGTAACTCAAACTCAAGAGCTTATGGAAGCTTCTTTTGCTCTTTAATCATCAGGTCACCTAGTGGTGGTTTATCTCCCACTTTTTTTTTAATCTAAATAGCCACTAGTTTTTTAATTTAAATAAGCATAAAAATGTAGTTAAAATAGATAGATTGGGGCCCCTTTTTCCAATATTAACATTTTCAGGGAAATTATATTTAGCCCTCATTTTCTATTTAATTAAGGGTAAAATAGTATTTAGAGTAAAAATATTAACATTAGGTTTTATAAATATTAGGCTCCGTTTGGTTCATTATTGGGTAGTTTTTAGAATAATATTTTGAAAAAAGTTAAATTGGGCTGGTATTACGATGTAGAATTTGAAAATTAACAAAAATACCCCCTATATTTGTTTATTTACTAAACACCCCTATAATAAAATATTAAAAGTTAACAAAAACACCCTCAACACACCATTAAATACAGATAGCCGGCCACCATTGCCGGAAGGTGGCCGGAGTTGCCGTATCGGCGTATGACCGGCTTGATCTTGCCTATCGTGGGCCAAATCCGTGGCTAGATCTGGCCATTGACGGCCAGATCTGGTCGCATTGATGGCCAGATCTGGCCGCATTGACGGCCAAAAATACGGCTGTCGTTGATGGTCAATAATGATCATATCTTGGCTGTCGTTGACAACTGTCTACGGCCAAATCAACTTGGATATGGTCGGAAAAGGCTAGATCGGCGTACTACCGGCCAGATTTAGCTGGTAGTGAGCCATTACACTAGATTTCAGCTAGCTTCCGGCAGTGGTGGTTAGAATCTAGTAAATTTGGGTTGTTAGGGTGTTTTTGTCAACTTTTAAAAAAAAATTTGAGGGTTGTTTAATTAAATTAACAAATTGAGGGGGATTAAAGGAAAATGAATAAGTTAGAAAACTATTTTGAAAATAGGTGAAACAAACACAAATTTTGTGTTAACTTTTTCAGGAAAACTATTCTAGTTTTCCCAATATGTGAACCAAATGGAGCCATGAAATAATTTAAGATAAAATTCATTATTTGTTCAAGTTATGGAATATTTTACAAAATTAAAGTGTTACTTAGGGCTCTGTCTTGGACTAATCCAAACAAGTCCAGTTACACAACCGGATCAGAAAGCAGATTAGATTTTGGGCCACTCATTTCAATATTTTGGACTTGTTTATTTATGATTACAATTAGAGTGGTTAGCTAGCTTATAGTACACGTATGCCCATCTAATAATATTCGGAGCATACATTTATTCATTTTAAAAACAACTTAATTTTTAATTTAATTTTATAAATATAAACAATAGTGTTATTTGATAAACTTATGGATAATATAATAGTTATTTTAATATTCTTAATTCATTTAATTTATAATTAAATTAAAAAGGAGTGTTAACGACAATTGTGAATGCAATAGTTTTTGTCACTCCTTATATTATGTATATATTTTAATCAAATAAAATATTTATTAAATTATTTAAACACTTGATACAAGAAAATTGACAATTGTCGAACTTGTGCCGAATAGTAACACTCTTCTAAAAAATATTAAACCAATAATAGTAGAAGTCAAATTTCGTAAATAAAACACCCTACGTCTTATATGAAACAATTTAATATAAATTTTATTGGTTTAATTACTATTATTGGTTATATATTAGACTCCAATTGTCAAACTGTGACTTCTATTATGGCAAATTCTATCTCTTTTCTTCTGGTCGGATGATAAACCCTTTAATTACTGAGATTAGCTATATCTGAGTGGTCTTAAGTTCAAGTTATAGGAAAAGTATTTACCATATTTGTGTAATTATTTTAATTCATTAGACTTGTAAGGTGTTTCATGATCTTGAAAATTAGATAAACTCTAATATATGATTGGATATATGAAAGACCTAAAAACAAATTTAAAACATCCTAGGACTGATATAAAACATAACTTATAAAATAATCAATGGGTCCGGAATCCGGATCGCACTATAGAACATAAGGCTCAAATCCCAAAACCTCAAAAGCCCAAACTAGTGAACTACTTTCGAATTATTTTTGTTTATTTATTTCATTTTATTTTATATTTAATGTTTTCTTTGTAACTTTATATTGGTATAGTTGAGTTCGGATATAGATTGTATGGTAACCCTTACCCAATCTACAATGTTGGTCCTTTTTTTTTTTCACTTTATTTTATTTTATTTTTTGCTTTTACTATTCATGATAATTATCGATTACCAATTTAATCCTCAAAAATTGATTCGATTTTAATTTTATTAATTCAAGTATGATTTGTGAGGATTTTTTATTTTCCTATTTATTAATTTTATTTGTGTAATGGAAAAATTCTACTATAGAAAACATAACATGTGTTACTTTATGATGTGACGTCATGGTGTGGCATGCTCATTGACATCAAAATTAAAACCAATTTTCCTTTGTTTTTTTTTTTTTAACTTTAAAATAAAGTGTGTTTTTAAAATTTGAAATATTAAACAAAATCTGATTTTTAATTTTCAGTAAAATGACAAAACTGTGATATACCATCACATATAGTTAGCATATGTTTTACCTAATCATCACTGGGTGACATGATAATAAAAGAGCAAAATGATATTTTATAAACTCTTGAGTTTGAGTCTCTCTAGACACTAATAGAAATTATCACTAAAACTCTTATCCAACTCCTAATTCTAGAGTATCAGAAGATTAGTTGAGAGCATGCAAATTGACTTGAACACTCCCGTCAATGAAAAAAAAAAAAAAATTCTACAATTTGTACACATATTTGTTACCTAAATTTTCCTGCTTGCAGTAAATTTGTACACTTTAGTTTAAATGATTACCCCCCTGCTTGCAGTAAAAATGATTAAGTTGGAGCAAAATTGAAGGAGAAAATTGGTATTTGAAGTTTTATAAGTATTGACAAAGACACATGCAGAGTGGTTTTGTGTAGTGAAGTCAAAAATGATGGGTAGGGCTTAAATTATGATAAGTTGAATAATTATTATCAACTTGGTGTTGCAATCATAACTTACCATTCTCTAGTATCAACTTATCAAAACCCAAATTAATTAATTAGTGATAATTACCTTCCAAGTACTACTTCAAACTTTCATGGAAATTAATTAAATTCTAGACCTACTTCTGGCTTTTCCCATGTAACTTTAATATTTTTTAAAATTAATTTCTTGGTTATTTTTTGTATTTAATTTATCTATACTTTGAAAAGGTTATGGAACTAGGAGAATAATTAATGATAAAATTTATAAAATGAAAATTGGTCAATAAATCATTATGGGAGGTAAGACGAACAAGAATTAAGAAATTAATTATACTTTTATTCGAGAAGATCGAGATTATAAAATCTGAAGTTGGCAATAGCAAGTACAACTTTTGTCAAAAAAAATTTGCCTAATTAACATGTGGAGATTCAAGAACCACCTATATATTTTTGTATATTTAGCTCAATTATTTTGATTTCATCATTCAATAATTAATGCCACATAAGTCATCGTAAAAATCAATCAAATTTATGTATATACCTTTAGAATTAAACTCTCTCATAATCTCTACTTGGCAACTCTCAGTTTTTTACTGATAAATTTTAAACTTTCGAAAATTCATCAGTAAAAAACTGGGAGCTGCAACCTAGACATTGTGAGAGAGAGTTTGTAAGATGAGATTATAAGTGTAGTATTGTCCCTAACTTTAAAATGCCTCTCATGCATATGCTTCCCAATATCAAATTTGACAAAATATAATGGTGCTATTAATTTTCTAACTCTTATAATAATTTGATTAATAATAGAATCATGTGGTGAATTTTGAGTCCAACGAAATAGATATTATTGGCTTTAGGTTCATCATTCATGCCCAACAGAAATGTGTCTTTTTAAACTTCCGACGTTTTAATTTAAGAGGACCCATACCTTGCAAATTAAATCTCAGACTCATTTGTTAGCAACGTGGGTTGTGACAAATAGCATTAATCTAATGATTATTGAAGGTAACTTATATAATAATACTTTCAGTTTGAAGATTTATAATATCAAATTATTGTTCCAACAACACTATTATTAGGCCAACGAAAACTGAATCCATTGAATCAAAAGATTTTTACGTAGTGATAATCGTAAGACCTATTTTCAATCTAAGACTGAAATGATGATAAAG